TTGTTGTTGTTTTCCACCTCGTTAAACGATGTGTTTCTACACGCCCCGGTATTTACCCATCGGTTGCTGCACCTTGAGTCGGAGTGAGGCCACGTTTACTCTGTTTCCGCAAAACGCCATTGGAATGGGACATTTTTGACCGTACATTTTTTGCTTCCTCCGAATAACGTCATCCCCATGCACGGATGCGTAATGGATTTGAAACGCTAGTCGATTAGTATTACGTGTTTATTCCAAATGAAAAGCGGTCTGATCAGCTGCCTGTTGACCGAGTGGATGGTATGCTTGCGTTCTACTTGTGACCTCCCGGGTTCGTGATCCCCAGTTGGGTCGATAGATTCGCAAACTGCTGCTGCTGCTGCTGAGATCTGCAATCAGGTCGAAACAGCTGTTCGATAGTGTTTTCCAGCTTTTCACCTCACGTCTCATTTACAAGACGACTTTATCATGGATTTCATGATAAATTTCTTTATCAATTCGATTCGTTATTATTTCTTTTCTGTATCAATCTTCCCCAGCCTTCTTACACGACCAATATGTCGGCCTTGGAAATCGCTGCCGAGGAGATACGTCTCGTCAATTCCCGACCGGCAGACGTGCAAAAAACGCTCGAGGTGCAAGAGGAGAGTACGGTCTACGCTCAGATCATTCATTTCATCAATCTGATTGTGAATTTCCGTATCCCGGTAGATGTCGGGGCTACGGCCGCCGGGGTGTACGGTGATCCGGGTTTGTTGAACAGTTTGACCAGTGGTGTGGATAGCAATCACGTGGACTATACTGTCGGTTTGCACGATGCTGGTCTCGGACCCGCGCATCGCATGCATCAAAAAGAGAACGGAATACTACTACACGCTGGCGGCGATCGTTCAACTGGCGAATCAACTTGGCGCCCGCGGCGTAACGACACTGGCGAGCGTTTTCCCAACGATTTCGCTGTCCCGTCATCTAGACATCCATCACCTGGTGACTTGTGAGTATTGTCTTTTGATTTTGTTTTCTATTTGACCCAAGTAGAGCTAACTACTTCGGGTGGAATTGTTCACCAGGCTTCTGCACCATGCAATCTGCAGAGCGTTTCGTTTTTGATTTTTTGTGACAATTGCTAGCATGTTTTTCATTCTACTGTAGTATTTAAATGAGAACTTCTGTGAGTTTAAATTGTTTCCCTATTGCACATCATGTAAAGTTCCTACGGTTGAATACCATATAATTTGACTTCATAATTTCGTCAGTTTAATGTACATCGCTCGTAAATATTTGTACTCTA